TTTCAAAAATATTCACAGGGAATGTCACATTTTTCTGTCTTGAATATATTGTACACTGTATTTCTAACAACTGTACTCTATTTGGCACTATATCTTAACACAAAATATACTAAAAGCTATCCACAATTTAGTTGTAACTTAAAAATTAATACTTACCTCAAATTTATATATAAGACAATTGCATCAATATGACTGCTCAGTCTACAAGCATTAGTGTATTTCCCAAGGAATCACAGTTCTGTTTTGCATTTCTCTGACTAGAGTTTCCTCCACTGTAGCTAAAGTCACATTCTTTTTCTTTTCTTACTTCTGTGACTTTCTCTTCTTCTATCATCTTGACTACTCTCTAAATATATTTATATTTCATATTCTACCTCTTGCTCACATTTCTTTTGATCTTGCCATTTATTGTCTCTGTATTTCTTCCCACATCTCTTCATATTTCTGTGCTTTCAACTGTTGCTCTTTTGGCTTACCCCTCACCTGAGAGGAGTTTCCATCTCTATCTGAAGATTAAGCTTGTACTAATTACACACACTGCAATTCTGGTTCACTGTGGACCTCATTCTTGAAAACCTTAGATTTTGTAGTGAGAGCTGAATGATTCTGCCATCTCTTTAAGTATTCCAGGTTTCACGTGGAGTTGAAAATTGGGTATTGGTGTGAGAGTCAGCTGGATCCCCGGGGATGAAATGAATGTAAACTGCCCTCAAACACAGCTGCGGCAGAAATGTATCTCTGCTTCTAAGCACCACTCCCTATCCTTTCTTTGAAATACAATAGTTTTCTCTGCTAAAATAAGCATAACATAATTATTTCACAATGACCGCCTGACACACTGCAATACTGAAACCTCAGCTTTAATTGGCAGCATGTTGTTAATTTGCATAAGAAAGCTTGAATCCTGCCATTAATTAATGTTTATTAAACACGTGGCTAACAAATAACTCTGTTCAGTGAAAACAATATAATCACCTTATAGAGCAAGGGCCTTCCATTGCTCTTCATGAACACGGCATCCCAGCACACTATTGTTCTTTGCATCTTGGTCATCCTACCTCTGTGATTTTAGAAATAAATCACCAATTTCTAACAAGACGTAAGAGTATACTGAGAAACTTCACTGAGAATGTATTGAAATTCAAGATCAATTTGGGGAGAAATGAAAAATTTGGAATATCAGATATTACAATCCATGAACATGGACCTCAATTAGTCAAGGGTTTGTGTTTTTCTCTATTGTTGTAAGCATTTCTTTTTGAAGATGACATTGGGTTAGGATTATGAACACTAAATTCACTGTTCATTACTTTTTAATGAACATTCATTTTTAGGTAAATGTAAATGGCACTTATAAGTTATATTTTTCTAAATCTGTGTTATTAGTTTGTAAAAAAAGCAATTTAGATTTTACCTTTTTCAAGAAAAACTGTTCAACTTATTTTTGCTTTTAATAAGTTATAAGGAGGACCGGCATTATGGTTTAGTAGGCTAAGCAGGGCCAGCATCCCATACGGGTGCCGGTTCTAGTCCTAGCTGCTCCTCTTCTGGTCCAGCTCTCTGCTAAGGCCTGGGAAAGCAGTAGAAGATGGCCCAGGTACTTGGGCCCCTGCACCCACCTGGGAGACCCAGAAAATGCTCCTAGTTTCTGGCTTTGGATCAGCCTAGCTCCGACTATTGCGGCCATTTGGGGAGTGAACCACCAGATGGAAGACCTTTCTCTATCTCTCTCTGTCTCTCTCTCCCTCCCTCTCTCCCTCCCCCCATCCCTCTCTCCCTCTAATTCTAACTTTCAAATAAATAAATAAAATCTTAAAATAAATGCTATAAGGGGACCAGCATTATGTATAGTGAATAAAGCTGCCCCTGTGATGCCAGCATTCTCTATGGGTACTGGTCCATTTTTCAGTTGTTCCGCATCTGATCCAGCTTCTTGATGATGTCCTGGAAAAACTAGTGGATGATTGCCCATGTACAGGGCCCCTGGCACATCAAGTAGCTCCTGGCTCCTAGATTTGGCTTGCCCCAGCATTGTACATTGTGGTCATCTGGGGAGTGAACAAGTGGATGGAAGCTCTCTCTCTCTTTCCTCTTTCTCTCTCCTTCTCCCTCTCCCTCTCCCTCTCTCACTATAACTCTGACTTTCAAAATAAATAAATCTTTTAAGAAAAAAATAAGCTATAGGTAGACTTTTTAGATCTTATTGTGTGCCAATTCACAACTCCAAAAGTAATGCCAGCTTCTTCCTCTCTTCTTTCTGATCTTTATATCTTTTTTAAGATTCACTTAATTATTTGAAAGTCAGAGTTACAGAAATAGAGGGATGGGCCGGCACCATGGCTCAATAGGCTAATCCTCCGCCTTGCAGCGCCAGCACACCGGGTTCTAGTCTCAGTCGGGGCGCCGGATTCTGTCCCAGTTGCCCCTCTTCCAGGCCAGCTCTCTGCTGTGGCCAGGGAGTGCAGTGGAGGATGGCCCAAGTCCTTGGGCCCTGCACTCCATGGGAGACCAGGAGAAGCACCTGGCTCCTGCCTTCGGTTCCGCGCGGTGCGCCGGCCGCAGCACTCTGGCCGCAGCAGCCATTGGAGGGTGAACCAATGGCAGAGGAAGACCTTTCTCTCTGTCTCTCTCTCTCACTGTCCACTCTGCCTGTCAAAAGAAAGAAAGAAGGAAAGAAGGAAAGAAGGAAAAGAAAAGAAAAGAAATAGAGGGAGAGCTTCTATCTGTTGGTTCATTCCCCAGATGGCCGCAATGGCCAGGGCTGAGCTAGGCTAAAGCTGGAAGACAGGAAATTCATCTGGGTCTCTTGTGAGTGGCAGGGGCCCAGTAACATGGGCCATCTTCTGTTGCTTTTCCCAGGCCATTAGAAGGGAGCTGTACTGGAAGTGGAGCAGTAGGGACACAAACTGGTACCCGTGTGGGATGCTGGCATCATAGGTGCAGCTTAACCCACTTTACCACAACACAGCCCCCTTCAATCCTTGCATCTTTTATTTAATCTATTTGTATACTGCACTAGCTAAGATCTTCAGTGCAGTGTTTGGCAGAGTGATAAATACTGCTTTCTTTTCTCTCTGCACATATCACAGGTAAAAGTTCTCAACATGTCAGTGAGCTTGCTGAATGTGTTGTTGTTTAGAACTACCTTTATCAGATAATATGACCACCTTCTGTTTTTCATATAATAAGGGCTTTTATCAAGGATAGATGCCAGGGGCCAGCGTGGCCTAGTGGGTTAAGCGGCTTCTTGCAATGCTGATATCTCATATGAGTACCAGTTCAAGTCTCTGCTTCACTTCCAATTCAGCTCCCTGTTAATACACTTGGGGAAACAGCAGAAAATGGCCCAAGTGCTTGGGTCCCTGCACACATATGGGTGACCAGGATGAAGCTCCTGGCTCCTGGCTTCAGTTCGGCCCAGCTCTGGCCATTGCAGCCATTTGGAGAGCGAACCTGTGGATAGAAGACCTCTCTCTCTCTCTCTCTCTGCCCCTGTCTCTCCCTCTTCTCTGCCTTTCAAATAAGCAAATGCATCTGTTAAAAGAAACAGATGTCAAATTTCATAAAATTATTTTCTGTCCATTGTGATTTCCAATTTTATGATTCATATGATTTTCCTTTTTCATGTTGTTAGCGTGATTGATTACATTGGTGAATTTTCAAATTCAATCTTGTATTTCTAAATAAACCTAAGTGGGACAATATCACTTTATTTTCCCTTGTTTACTGCCAGATTTTATTTGTTATTATTTTTATGTCAACATTCATTGGTGAGAGTAGGCTGCAATTTTCCATACTTATAATGTCTTTGTTGTGTATTGCTCTGAATTTGTAGAACTCAAAAGTAATAGAAAGCACTCCTCCAGAAGATTTTTATATACATTTTGCATGATTTTTTCATTAAATGGGTACTTGAGGGTAATTTTTAACATTTTATTTATTTGGAAAATAAAGTGAGAGAGAAATACAGAGAAGGAGGCACACAGAGAGTCAGATCTCCCATTTACTGATTCACTCCCCCAAATCTGTCCATAATAGCAGTCTTGGTCCAGACCAAAAGCAGAAACTGAAAGCTCCATCTGTGCCTCCCCTGTGGACAAAAGTGTTACAGCTACTTAACCATCACCTGCTGCCTCCCAGTGTGAGCATGTGCAGGAGGCTTGAGTTAGGAGCAAAGCCAGAATGCAAACCCAGGCACTCTGATATAGGATGAAGACTTGCAAGTGGCATATTAATTACTATGCCAAATGCCCATTTGGGCATTTTTAATTATATTTAATTGCCAAAGGGCAATTTTTAATTATAGGCTTGTTAGTTAATTATTATAGACAATTCCGTTTTTCTCTTTTGTCAGTTTTAAAGCAATTTGTGGAGAATAATTGAGGATATTACTTTTACATATTATAGAATAATTCAAATTTTTTACTTATTATTTTTTGTAAGTTACATTTATCTAGGAATATGTACTTTGGATATCAAAACATATATGCTCTGATATTCATTGCCTGAGAGTTGTTCATTAAGTACCTTTATGATTTTTCGGTGTCTTCAGGAGTATTGAACTATCTCCATTTTTCATTATTAACGCTGATTTTACACAGTCCCACTCCTGCTCCACTTGTTTATCTAATGTGGGATGCCCTGGAAGGAGGTGACCACAGGGACATGATTCGCTGAAAGCTGAGACAAACCCTGGAGGAAGAGCAAGTACACTGCTGCTAAGGTTATGCCTCCAAACTCAAAGAGTTCTCATCAGTTTTACTGGCTTATTTCTCATTGACTTTCCTCCAGTTGCTCTTAAAAAAAAAAAAAAAAAACTCAGAATTATCATCTGGTGCAAAGAAACTGAATTCTGCAGAAATCACTCTCAAATTCTCTTGGTTTTCTCAAAAATGCATATGTACTGAAATTATTCTTAGCTATATTGTCTTTTATAATGAACACACTGATACTAAAATATTACTACAATGAGTTGTTTATTTTATATGACTTTATTTTTTCCCTTTTTATGCACTAGTAATAGTACCTCTCCCAATCTATTTGATTACTAAATGTAGTCTACTAGTCTCACTTCCTTGACAGAACTTCTTCACTTCAGCTTATCACCCAAAATTTAATTTCCTCCTTTCAGGTTTTTCATTACCAAAGGGATAGTAGTACATGAATCAGAATAAATCATTATGTTACACTATTTCATGAATCACCTTGATTCTAAAATAGGAAGACAAATGCCTATGTCTGGGTAGGTGAATGGAGCAATCCTTCAGTTTGACACCCTTGTATATCACTCTCTGTGGCTTCTACTATGTGTCTCATCATGTGCTGAAGACCTACATTTCCAAACTCTCCATCCAGAATTTCTTCCCCTAAATGAAAGCAGTTATAAATTTGCATCTAGTATCTCAACAATATTAATCATAGCCACCAACAAGTGAAATGAGTTTTGTTTATTATATATCACCTAGACCTATGTCAATAAAGTTATTATAATTACTTAATAAATGTGGAATCTGAGTCATAAAGAAATAAATTGATCAAATTCTCTTAGCTCATAAATGAATAAACCATGAACCCCAACAATTAGCCTCAAAAGCTAACATCTTGAATAGAGCATATACAGCATTCCTTAAACTCTACCCATGTAGTAACCTACCAAAGTCCTATTCCTAATTTTCATTCCTTATCTTGCATCTAATTCTAGTTTCATGACCATCCATGCTAGAGTCATCCACACCACTGTATTCTTTTCTTCTCTCATGATCATGGTGCTTGGGTATATCAAATGCTGAGATGTATCAAATTGTGAAGACAAATTGGCAATCTAACAAAGCCATCTTTATTGTGACCCACACATGCTCTCAGTCTTGAATCAACTGTCTTAAATTCTATTCTTCAGAACTTGGTTCCTGTCCCCAAGGCTGCTTCTGTGCTTCGAATTCTTTGATCCTTCAGTAAAGGCACTGAAAGTTCATGTTGAATGACTCTTCCATGACAGCATTAGGGAATTGCAGATGAATACTTTCCTCCTTGTGAAGACAAAAGAAAACAGTAAATTTCAAGTGGAATTTACTACCTACACCCCCTTTCTACCAGCAGGCACAGACCATAGAGTTGCTGGATTCTTTGGATATCTTCATCACTGAGGTGAAATTTTTTAGGATTCTGATACCAATAGGTGGGATACATTATGGAATTCCGATTCGTAGAGTGTGGCAGACCCAGAGAATGACCAATCTCATGAATGGAAACCAGGAACAGATTAAATCCTGAAAGAACATTGACAAAAGAACAAAATTAGCCATCCACAGGGAGGCAATGTTTGAAAAAGAAAGAAGAAAAAAGTGTGGGTGCAGTCTGTTAAAATATTTGCTTACTATATACTAAGTTGATCTTCTGTATATAAAGATAATTGAAAATGAAACTTGATGAAGAGTGGGATGGGAGAGGGAGTGGGAGATGAGATAGCTGCAGGTGGGAGGGAGGTTATGGGGGAAAAAGCCACAACAATGCAAAAGTTGCACTTTGTAAATTTACATTTATTAAATAAAAAGATAAATTAATTAATGTAACATTAAAAAAAAGAAGATGAGGAAAAGGTAGAGAAGGGGGGAAAGATAAAAAAGAAAGTGAAGAAGATACATGGAGAAAGTTTAGAGACCTGTGAATGGGAACAAAGATACAAGAAGAGAGAGAAGCATATGTTCAATAAAGGACATCTGTGTTCAATAATGATACCTCTTCTCCCCACTCATATAAAAGACCCAATTCTTCCATCAAATTTTCCCATCTCAGCCCAGCCACTTGATCCTTCCCTCTACCCTCTTTATTGCATCCTAATCCAGGATGGGGATCCTATATACCAGCCCCAAAGTTTCCAGAGAGTTCTAGCAAACCCATCAGAAAAAGCCTTTACCTCTGTTTGAAGTTGACCAATGTTCATCCTTATCAAAATGAACAGCTCCTTGACTTTGAGAATCTGGTAAAAAGGCGTGGCCTAAGATGCCACCTGGCCCATCAAAGGACCAGCCGTCTCCATGGGCTGTGAATGACAGAAGCTATGATCACAATGGAAGGAAGGGGAAGACAAGGACAGGAATTTTCTTAAGTGAACCTCAGTGTCTTAGGGCCTCGTGCAACTGGATATGTTGGGACATCACAAGGCAAAGGCACCATGTATGTAAAGAAATAAGGTAGGTCAGAAATCTACCTTCTGAGGTAAAAGAGGAATGGATTTCAGAGACTGAGTGAAATTTACATTTAAACACCAAAAACATTCGAAATAATGTGGAAAGAGAGAAAGTTCTTATAGGTTAACCAATGTTGAATAGCAATTTCAACAGATTTTGGAGTTAAACAACATCTTTTTAAAAAGAAATGTGCAGTTTCTCACCTTACTCTATCCACACCTCTAACTCCCCTAACTATTGTTTCACAGTACTAAAAACGTCTTCCCTGTGTTATAGACGTTGGCTTGCATGGGGATTCATTGTTTCTCAGAAGCTATGCTAGGTGGGCTGGTTGTGTTTATGGAATGAGTCCCTTGTCCTTACACCATGCATCATGCCTTCCCTCTCATGTCTAAGTTCTTACCCCTCTTCCGGAATGAAAGCTCAATGTCTGCATCCTGGCTCTCCACTTGCTGAAACATCAAGGGGGTCACACTGCTCCAGACGGAAATTGCGCCACCTATAATGCCACTCACTGTGGATGGCCTCATGCCATATGGATAATTGATGATACTAAGAATAAAAAAATATGTGAGTGACATAGTTCACAGGTATGGGAGTAAAAACTCTAAAAATGAATGATTCTGCTTTGGGGAAAATTACTTAATATTTTTAGACTTCATTTTGCTTACCTACATAATTGAGTTAATCCTACACTAACTGAATCAGAAAGTCAAGGAATTAAACATGCAAGCTATAGATTTCCAAAGACTTCAATAAATACCCCACATTACTGTCACATGAACTGAAGCCTGAATGAAAAATACAAGCCTTACATGGTGATTGGGGAAAAGCAAATAAGTCAATGTGAACTAAATTGATTCATATAGCATTCTACACAGTTTAGCATTATTTTTTTGTTTTGGATGTCTTCAATATATTTAGAATCTCCAAAAGAAAGAATAACATAGGCAGAGAGTAAAATTTTCAAAATTATGTCTTATAATCACCCACAACAAAAAAAAGAGAAATATTTAAGGATAAATAATCATTATGACTGAAGCAGAGTGGTTAAACTCCACTTCCTAAAGACATGCTTTTAGGAAACTAGAATAACTGGGAAAACTGCTTTCTCTGAGGGAGATTTTGAGCTTTAGAGAAACTGTCAGGGAAAGAGGACAACAGAGAACCTCATTGTAGAAAGTGCTCCTAGGGAATCCTCCCACACACCCCACAGGTCTTAGTGAGCACCTGTAAGTCAGACTGGACTTATTCCACTTGGGCCTTCCTGGGTTGGTAGAGTGATGAATCCCATCAGGTACCCCACAGCGAGGCTGGTGCATCACTGTTACAATCTTCTCATCTAATAGGCCTGTTCCATTTTGATCAATCGGCTGCGTGAACTTTGTCTTCTCCTCATAGGCAAGAAGTGGTGACTCCTTCTTCATCAGGAAAAATGGATGGAAATAGTCCTGGGTGACAGATCAAGGAAGGATGAGAACTTAGAGACAATAGGGAAGACTCAGAGTATCACTTTCCCAGGGCTTAGTCTTTCTTGAGGGCCTACCAAAGATGGCTTTTTGTTGAGCTGGCTTTCTTACACCTTCCATTCTCAGTCAGAAGATGCCAACCGTTCCTAATTTTCCATGTCACTGGAGAGATGATACTAATCATAGGTAACAGAATAAAACTGAGCTACATAAGTTGCAAGCAGTTCTTCAAGAATAAGGCATCTGAGTTTCAGGACAGAGAACTTAAGTATAAAGAAAAGGAAATTTTTAAGAGCAATGTCTGGCCGGCTCCACGGCACACTAGGCTAATCCTCCACCTTTGCGGCGCCAGCACACTGGGTTCTAGTCCTGGTTGGGGCGCCAGATTCTGTCCCGGTTGCCCCTCTTCCAGGCCAGCTCTCTGCTGTGGCCAGGGAGTGCAGTGGAGGATGGCCCAAGTGCTTGGGCCCTGCACCTCATGGGAGACCAGGAGAAGCACCTGGCTCCTGCCATCGGATCAGTGCGGTGTGCCAGCCGCAGCTTGCCAGCTGCGGCGGCCATTGGAGGGTGAACCAACGGCAAAGGAAGACCTTTCTCTCTGTCTCACTCACTCACTGTCCACTCTGCCTGTCAAAAAAAAAAAAAAAAAAAAAAAAGAACAATGTCTGGAGAACAGGGCCTTAGTGTTTCAAACCAATTTAGGCTCTTTCAGTCAAGACAGAATAAGTGATTCCTAAAACCAGGGATTTGGCCATTTTTTTTGTATTCCTCAGTCCATTTGCATTTTTATAACCTAGTCCATTAAAATGCTAAGAGCCCATTATTCACCTTTTCCTTATCTCTGCTGTTTCCATTACTACTCCAATGTACTAAATCTCAGCTGCTGAAAAACACTAACACCTTGGATTACAATCAGAATTTCTATATTTACAGTTGAGCACCAGCAACACTCAAAGTAATTTAAGGGCCACACTCTGTTTAATAAAATTGTATCTATCCCACTGTTCTTAATGACAGTATTTCATTGATAGATTTATGCATATTGCTTTAAACTGCATTTCAATGTCTTTGTTTTATTATTAGCTATTCTGGGTTCTCAGAAATGAATGAGTTACCATATCTTTCTGAGCTAAATATTAGCAGGAAAATAAACCAGTTTGTTAAAAAATTAGAAAATACAAGACTGAAACAAGTTGTTTTATTTTTTTTTAATTTTGAATGCTTAAAGGATATTGAACAAATCCAGCTTCTTGAAGAATTGAAAGTGTACGGTAGACTATTTGGAAGATGTGTCATTCAATAGGAACAACATATTAATCCACTTGAATTACTTCCTTGTATCCCTCACAATCTAACATACTCTGAGATCCATATACTGAATTATTCATCCTAACCATACAAAAGGCTAAGAGTATGAGAAATGAACAGGAGACCTGTATTGTTCATTAGGTGCATCAGGAACAATGAGAATGGCCAAAAATACTTTCAGAGGGCCACCAAAATGTTTTAGAACCCGAAGAAAAATATTAACACATAGATTGAATAAAATGCTTTAATATGTTGTGATATATTTGTCTTATACCATGTGATCATATATATGTATAAATATATATGTCTTTATATGCATATGTGTGTATCTAATTGTCCATGAAATCACACAATGAGGTACCACAAAAAGATCATGGAAAAATGGAATTAAACATTAAGGTGCATATTCTATACACACTTGGATATCCCTCACATATACATACACATACATACACACACACAGAAGAGCCCACACATGTCAAAATGTGATAAAGTAGTCTTAGTTAGCACTCCTACCTTGACAAAGTCCCATCCTTCAAATTTTGTTGCAGGAGGCACTGGAAAAGCCAGACACACAGGCAGAAAGACAGTGAATTTAAAGATGGCAGTCTTTATGCAAACACTCATTTTTCCTACTGCCCGAATTCATGTACCCCACATGGATCACCAGGCTTTTATAGAAGTACCAGAATCAGTGACTCACACTGCTAGTTTGCTCTTTCTTTGCATGAGTGAATGTTGTCTTTACCCATGTGAGATCGAGGTAAGAGTGAATAGCCTACCAAGGTGATGGCAGCAGCTCCAGGATGTATTTGCACACTCATTTCACACCTGACAGCCCTCAGGATCCTTGTGGTTAAGGAAATGAAACTAAGTCTCAGGTTATATGGGTGCATCATTAACAGAATAAATGAGGTGAGCGTTTGGTACAGGTGTTAAGTTACAGTTTATGACAACTACATCCCATACCTATATCTCAATTCCAGCTCCCACTAATGTATCCTGACAGGCAGCAAGTGGTGGTTCAAAGTAATTGGGTGCCTGCTACTCATGTGGGAGACCAGGACTGTGTTCCGGGAAGAATTTCCAACTCTGGGCTTTGGCTTGACCCAGCCCTGCTCTGGCTGTGTAAACCAGCAGAGGGGAGTCTCTCTCTCAAAAAAGGGGACCCTCCTATATTTACATATCTATACCTGTACAGCAGATGCATTGATGACAGATACTTCTTGTTTGAATTAATAATGTAGTATTGTCTTTGCAATCTAAAAGGAACTTATTGTTTAGTAACTTAATAATAGTTATTAGGAAAAGATTCTCATAGCTACTAATGAGACTGGAAATGAGTTATTTATGTGTACCTGCACACATTTACTAGTGACAAATATGAGCATATAATTCTGCTCTCTCAGCCCAAGGCAGCTTATTACTACAATAATTTATTAAGCAAATACATGGTGCCAAAAATATAATAGCTCTCTTCATCAACAAAATCATCTGATAAAGTAGGTGCTTTATTACTTTCATTTTGTAATTGAGGAAATGGGTTTTTGACGTCATTTGATCATCATTTGTCACAATGCTCAAATCAGGATATAAAAGTTATAAATAGTCTTTTATTCTGAAGACAGAACCTTTAATCACTAGACCAGACTTCTACTTTTGACATGACCGCTTTCTCGGGGTGTCACACTTCTCTCTGAGGCAGCTCCTGGAAGCATTAGTGCACGCTATATAATCTGATAGGGCAGATTTAGGTGAGTGACCAACAGTAAGATTGACCCAGCACAAAAATGAATGAGTGCTGAGTGCTGAGATTCAGCTTAACTAAGAAAGAAAATGATGAACTTATTAATGATTCAGCTGCAGATAGGAAAGTATATTCAAAGTATGGCAATGTTTCTCAAGATGAAATATACATATGTGTCACCTGAGAATATTAACAAAAATATATATTCAGATTTAATAGATCTCAAATTTGCAACAAACTCCTAGGTGATGTCAAAGCTGCTGATTTAAGACCATAGTTTGGATTTATGAAGCAGCTTTATAGCATATGCAGGAAATGCAGAAACTGTGAATCAAATAAGAACATATAGCAAGTTTAATATTTCATTTTTTTAAAAAATAAATTTTTTAAAAGTTTCAAACTATGAGAAACAGGAACATATCTTTCCTCTTACCCTCATCATGCCCATAACAAATAATATCTGGAGCTGAAAGCAACCTTTTCTAGAAGTCTGGATGGGTCCCTATCTTCTGGGCAAACTGTCTTGAAAGCAGGAGAAAAGCAGTTTTGAAAGCATAAGAATCCTAATCACCTTTTCCATGACCTCCAAAGCCAAAACAGGGGAGAAGGAACTTAGGGGATGCTTTCTACCACTGGAAAATTGGTCTTTGTTACAACACTGGCAGCTCTGCTTGGAAAGAATGACTGGATATCTAGTTCATCTTAATGTAGAACAAATTCTTCCACCACAGGGACTGACTAAGGGCTTTCATTGAAAGAATTACTGATATGGCACATAGAGTTTAATGAGAGATGAGGACAATGGGACAGCGCAGGCTACAAAGAGTCATAAATATTCCTCTGGAAGTACAGACCACAGGAGTGTTTATTAGCATGGGACACATGTTTTCTCTACTAAATCTAGCCTGCATTAATCATTTACTTTTCCATACAGAGAAGACTATAGAATTGGTGATGAAAGGTTACTGAGACTCAGATCACTCTTTAAGCTATTTTACAATCCCGTAGGTTGTCTGTTAATTAAACATACAATTGTGAGTCAATGATAAGCCTTTAATAAACATGCACAAGGCAGTCTAGAAACTAACAGGAGTGAGATCTTAGCTTGCTGAGTTGATCAGAGGAGATTCACAGAGGAGATGAAGCGTACTGGGCCTATAGATTTAAACAGTATTGTAGAAACTAAGGAGGACAGCAGAGAACCTTAGGTCATTTCTTTAGGTTGGAGTATAAATTTGGCTGATAGAGATACGGATGGAGAGGGAGATAAGGACCAGATCCTTGGGATTTAATAAGTCACAGACAAAATTGAATGCTATTTACATCTTATAAGTGTTTATTTATATTGGTGCTAATTCAAACAAGTATAATAAATATGAAAATGGTAGCCATGATAATAAGAGCAGTCAATGCCTACTGTTTGCTACATAAATTCTCTGATATAATTATATGAACAACCCTCATTTTACAGATTAGAGAATTAAGACAGTGAATTAAATAGATTGAACAAAGTTAGTTTATGACAGACAGAGCCTGCAATTCTTAACTTTCACACAAGCACACACACACACACACATATACATATATTTATATATATATATATATAGAGAGAGAGAGAGAGAGAGAGAGAGAGAGAGACGGGAAGGTACACTAATACACACAGTAGATATGTATATGTTTTACAAAAATTCCTATGACCCCAAAGAAAGAATACATGTGTCACAGGAGGTATTGTATTTTCTGTCCTCACAATTGTGGACTCAGCAAACACGCCGGCCGTAACGGCCACTTGGGGGGTGAACCAATGGAAAAAGAAAGACTTTTCTCTCTGTCTCTCTCTCTATCACTGTCTAATTCTGCCTGTCAAAAAAAAAAAAAAAAGAAAGAAAGAAAGAAAGAAAGAAAAGAATTGCATAGTTCTCTCATTTGTGACATTTTTAATCTTTTCATGTTTTTCATACTAGGAGAGAATAGAAATGTTAGATATATCAATGACTACATATCATAGGCTTCCAGTTGGCCTTCTGTGTGGCAAAGTCTCCTACTCAATAAAGCATAGGCACATGTGGGGAATAAGCCACAACTTCAATTATGCATTCCAGGCATCGATGTTGGTTCACATCTTTTATCCAGCAGTCCTCAAATTATCTGACTATTCATTTTTTCACCAAAGTACAGTTACTTGAGCAAACAGTCCTAAATCCCATTGGGAAAGAACAATGAAATCAGTATTGTGGATAAGTATCACACTGTTATTAGAAACTTCTACCTTGAGACCAGTTTACATCAATCATTTAATTTTGAGTCTAAAACTACTTCATATATAGAGACTGGCCAAGAACTTATAAACCACTGATAGGCTTCTGCTCCTAGCTTCATGATCATCTGTCTTCTATTCTGCAGATATGAGCTAAATATCACCATATTAACTTATTATTTCCCTCTTACAAATGATAAAAATTTCAACTATTTCCATAAAATGTTAACTATTTTTGCTTCTCTGTGTCTTGGCTTTCATTTGCTGCTGTTCTGATCTTATTACGTATCATTATAATTGTCCTCCATAGTAGCTTCTGTAATTTGGGGATAGTATCTTCCCCATTTCTGTCATGGAGTATTTAATAGAAAACTCTCTCCTAACACCAATTCTGGTCTCCATAAGAAAACCACCATTGATTTCTGATTCTGGTGTTACTCTCACCAACCCGATCCTTAAGCTTAGGAAACAGAAGAAACAGTGTGTCCTCCAGGTCTTCCTGTGGTGCATAATTACTGTCAGATCTTCTGGCTGTATATAACCTATTCTTGCAGAAGACTCACTCCTGAATCGTTTAATTCCTTCCTTTACCATATACTATTCTTATCTCTTAATTTTTTGAATATGAAAGTATCAGTTTTCATATGTGTTTGTAGTAACCTTAAAAAATTGTACCACATCATCAGGGACTTTCTGTGTACCAAATACATATGTTGGGAGAGTGCTCACAAGTAATTTTTACTCTTCCTAACCTAATTGTGCTTTCCAGTCCTTTGGTTGAAGTATATTCAGTATACAATAACATGCTTAATTTGCTGTATCTTGCTGGTACATGTAATCTTGTTCTTACAGCTCCTATAAAGCATCATCCCTTTCTTCTCTCATCAAGCCCAGCACCTTACTATTTCATTATGATGCAAATTATCCCTAAATATAGGCCTTGCATCAGCAAAGTAGGTGATGATAGGGCCTGAGAGGGGCACATACTGGCTTGAAGGGATCACGCCTCTACATTATTCCAAAGAACTGGGGAAGAGAGAAGATACTAACACTTAGGGAGGAGAGATATTTCTTACTTCTGCATTATCAGAAGTTGCAGAATAGTTTGTGGAAGTCAAAATCCTTGGGTCTATCCACTAATATTTATCTCATGTACTAGGGCCTAGGTTTTCACTTCTAGGACCTTGATCTTAGTATCGGAAACCTGCCATGGCTGGATGTTTATCTTTGCTGAAGTTCAGTCTCTCTACAATTAAGTCCTGATATTGGTTTTTAGCTTCCTCTATGCTCTGCTGTAGGAAATGAGAGCTTATTAGTTTACTATTAAGAAACCCACTTGCTTTCATGCTTGACTTACAATTGCCTAACACTCATCCCTGTCAATTTTCTTTCCACAGAGCATCAGTGACACTGTCACAGCATCTGGAATGATATCAAGTCCAACCAAGAGACCCAAATGTAAGCAAAGAAAGTCAACTAAGTAGAACCCTAACAATCTGACTCTCTTGTTCTTTCCCAGACTTTACTCCATAGGTGATAGGTGATTCTAGTCTGACAGAGTGTGATGTCATGCCCTGTCAAAGTTGAAACTGCCTTAGTGGTGATATCTGAGATGCTCTGGCAAAGTCCTCCTAGACATGGTACAGAACTTAAAAAAAAAAAAAAGGCATTATTCATTATACTCTTCTCT